CATTTTATGTGTCTTGGACCATTCTTTTACCTACTTTTTGGGGGTTTAGGCACACCTTAATTACAGAAACATTGAACCCTAAACCCTAAACTAAACCCTAAACCCTGAACCTTAAACCCTAAACCCTGAACCCTAAACCCTAAGCCCTAAACCCTAAACCCTGAACCCTTCTAAGCCTAAGGCCCAGACCCCTGTCTCCAGGAGCTTCCTCGAGGATGAGATCGCGAAGTCCAGGACTTGCCGCGGGGTTTCAGGCCTTGACGTGGAATTTCTCCGAAGTCCCCCCCCCCAAATCTTAAACCCTAAACCCTAAACCCTAAACCCTAAACCCTAAACCCTAAACCCAAATCTTATAACTTCCTGCGACTTAAAGACTGAAGTAAGCATGCTAGGCTCGAGAATTTGCCGTTTCTGGATGGGCGGTTTAGGGTTTAGGGTTTAGGGTTTAGGGTTTTGGGTGCAGCTGAGCAGAGGCCATGCAAGCTGAGCGCTGCGGTGCTTTCCGTGGGCCGCGCTCACGAAGGCCAGGCGCCCGGGCCTGAGCCCAACTCATCGGATTCATCGTATTGCACCTCTGTCCTGTATGAAATGCGAACAAAGAATCTGTCTGTGGTGCACCTGCACATTTTCTCAACCTGCAGCGGATCTTTCTCCTCAAGGGATATCACTGCATAGTTCAAAGGTGTTCAAACTGTAAACGCCCCCGCCGCCATGGCCCTGAGCTCCCTCGGACTCCGTCTTCTGGCAATGGCCTCCATCCCGCTACTGGCGCCGCTGGTGTGCGCGGAGTCTCAGGCGCTCGCGTACCTGGGCACGGGCTACAACATTATCACCGGGGACCCTCACACGGAGCAAGACAGAGACCCCGGGTGGAAACGTGACATCATCTCCCGCAGCTACCTGAAAGAAGAGTGGGTGAAGCCTGATGGGAGGTGCTCTTACGATGCGACCAACTTCCAGATCACCGGTGCCAAGAGTGCTCAGACGTATAGGAAGAGCGAGTGGAACAGCAAGACCAGCATCAACCAAATCAACATCTTCCATGCGGCCTTCACCGCCAGCTCCTCCGTGCAGAACATGGACAAGGAAAGCCGGAGCAATGGCTTCACCTTCTTCGAGACGAGGGCCGAGTGCCACTTGAAGACGGCTAAGCTTCCGGCTCCCTCCGTCAAGTACGAGTTCACTGCGGACTTTGAGGCTGCTGTGAAGGCCATCCCAACCGACGGTTCCGCTGAATCGTCGAAGTGCCTTGGACACGAAGCGAGCAATGAAAGGGTGTAAGGCTCATCGATATCTATAGAGGGATTCGCTGTCTGAAGGTATATATGGGTTCCCCACTCTATAGGGTCATTTGGTCCTCAAGGTGGATCATCGACAATATCATCGGAAATTTCGGCACGCACTACACAGACACAATCTGCTCCGGTGGACTTATGGGCAAGAGGTCGTGGATGAGCAAACAGAGCTTCGATTCTCTCCAGGAGACGGCAAAGCAGAAGGGCTTCAGTCTAGACATTGCCGCCAAGGGCACTTTCTGGAAAATCACCGATCCCCACAACTCCGAAGGCCACACTACCAACGACGATGCCACGCAGGCCTTCCAGGAAGCGATTCAGTCCGGCGGAAGCTCAAGCTTTTGCATTGGCTGCAGCTCCTTCGTAGCGGGCGACGCAGAGAAGTGGGGTGATCAGGTGAAGGAGAACATGGAGCCGATTGGATCCTCCAGCAACCTTCTGGTGGCCATCAGCGAGCTTCTCATCCCGATCCACTTCCCGAATGCCGATGCAGAGGTGCTGAGACTTCAGAAAGCCACGGTGGAGCGTCGCCTCGAAG